AATGGCCGTGTAACCGCGAGAGAGATGAAATGGCCGTGTAACCGTGAGAGAGATGTAATGGCCGTGTAACCGCGAGAGAGATGAAATGGCGGTGTAAACGCGAGAGAGATGAAATGGCGGTGTAAACGCGAGAGAGATGAAATGGCGGTGTAACCGCAGGAAAGATGAAAAGATATGTGATAGATATAGATAAAATGTTTGTGATGTACAGGTTTGATTCTAAACTGCTAGTTTAGAAAGTATGTTATTGGTATGAGTTATATACACTCACTAGACCTTTTGGGTCTAACGCTCAGTTGTTGGACTAACCGGTTTTGCAGGTCATCATACCTCGCAGAATAAAGGAAAGGGAAAAGTTTAGTGTTGATGACAATTGTTTACTCATAAATGTATTCAAGAAAGTATTTTGTTAGTCCGTGTTTTGTAACAATACTATTTTTAGTTTTATGAGTATATGTATGTGAATTATCTGTATATGGAAATTGAGGGTTGTTACAGGTAGAATGATTAAGATGCTCTCATGATATAGTGTAAAATGAAATATAATTGTTTGATAATTGTTTGCAATAAAATTAGACACTGAATGGTTAAGGGAGACATATGATACAAAATCATTCAAAGAGTTTTAAAACCATTAAGAGACGGACTTTTTTTGGCCAAACAAGATACACCTCTTAACGATTCAGATGCTGACTCTTGATGAAACTATTAAGAGATAAACAAACAACCCGTTAAATAAAATAAGTTGTATAATAAAGGAACTTTATTATACAATCATTTTTATAATTGTTACAATTCAATCTCAACCGTCAATTAAATTTAGTAAATATATAACTTTATAAATATCTTAATTGTTTTTTAATATAAAACGTTAATTATAATTGATGAACTTTAATTATATTTCATAAATACTTATTGATAATAAACAAAAACTCATTATTTTATAAATATCTTAATTAATTAAATTATATTGATTATATAAATAAAATAAGTTGTATTTACAACGTCGTCCTCTGATAAAAAAATATTTTTTTTCAAATATTTTAAAATAGTGTTTTATATTTTAAAATGATAATAAAAAATGCCAAAAACAAAGGAACGAAATGTCAACGCGTGGCTTGATGAGCACGTTCGTTTCTAGAACGAAGAATAATTTATGACTTTGTTGGCCCTTCAACTCTTTATAGTTGCTAATTTTGGTCCATGAGAATTTGCAAATGTGTGTTTCTACCCTCTGACAAACTGTAGATGACGCATGAGATGACGTAAGGAGGTTTAAAAGGGAGCGGTGTACAGCCAAAGATTCTGTTTCTGGAAAATGGTCAACAGAAGTGGACGAATCTTCCAGTGTACATACGAGCACCACCGCTTAATAGAACCGGTGACGTCATCTTGGTTATGGACCGCTCTTATAGCATCCACGATTGTAGACCACATCAACTTCCTTTTTTTCTACTTACAAGAAAAATGAAATTGTTCCTCTGCAGGAACCTTTCCCTTTCATGTGTGGACAAGAATCCCTCTGCCCCAATGGTTTAGAAAATGTTGGATCGGTTCTCATGGCGGTGAAGAAAAGTGACGGATCCAGAAAATTGATAGGGTGTGGATATGTTGGATAGGACTTGGGGGAGGCAAGCATATGGTCATGTGGAACTGAGGGGAAACCATGTAAAACGAGGATAAAAATAAAAAATTTAAACTAGTCAACAAACATTTTTGGTTTTTGACTAAGGGCCTCCCCCTCCCCCTCCTTAAGGGCTAGATATTCCCAAGGTGAAGAACTTCGCTGCTGTAGATGCTCTTATATGTAGCATGTAGGCATAAGGATGGGTCCCAATCCGTTGAGAAATCATATCCGTCCGTTCCATTTAAGGGTGGGGATTCCCCGTTAAATCGGGGATAGAAACCAAGACAGGGATTCTCAATTGTCTCAAACCAAGGATGAAGGAGATGGGGACGAATATCAGACTCTTTATCCAACCCTATACTAGAAGGGTACTCACGCAATGCAGTGAGATACATATTGATTTTAATATTTCATTTTATTTTTTATCTCAGTCGATGTTATAATATGGTCTTATATGATTTTGAAAAAGCGATGATGTTTTTATTTTTGAATAAAATATAAAATTGAAAATAGCATAAAAATTTGACAAAAAATATTGATATTAGTATCAAATTAACTATTTAAAATTTTTATTTTTTGTGTAATTTTTTAATTCAATTTTTGTTATTATAATTTAATTTAGGTTCAATAACGAAATAATTTATATTTGATTTAATAATATATTTTTCATATAAAAATAATAATTAATTATTTTGTTATAACTCGATAATTATCCTAATTATATTTTAGATTTTTTATATTTTAAAATATAATGTTTATCCTCTATTTGATTATGTTTATTCATAGTTAGTTACACGAATTCAAACATGAAACTTTAATAAGTTGTACTTATGCATAATTTACTTGTAATCTTGAATTTTAAGTAATATGCATCAATATACAGTACTTCATGCATAAAAAATAATTTTTAAGAGTTTTTGTTAAATGCTTTATAATATAGTATAGATATATACATATATATATATATATTAATAAATTATATGTATATTATTTATTTATTTTAATTAAATCGGTAATTCATAATTTATTATATCTTAATTAGATTTACAATTTAAATTTGTGATCTTTTTGGATGTTAGTATGTAATATTTTAAAAGTCTAAGTCAAAATAAAATTATTGATATGTTTTGATAAGTATAACATTAAGTTTTTTTTGGATTAAATTAATTTTTTTTTTGGTTTTAGGTTATTAATTATTATTTTTGTATTAAATTAAAAAAATTATTGTTGGTTTATTAAAAATATGTGAGATTTAACCGTTGGAGATCTCTGTTCCCCGTCAGTGACGATGGTAGAGATGTGATCATATTCTTCCATAGGAATAGCGACAAGAACAGCAACAGAGATGAAAAATCAGAGACGAGAATAGGAATTGAGATCCGAACTCATCCCGCCGCCTAATTATATGATCTAGCCCCAATTTACATAATTTTCACGATTCAGGCAATTCGTGGATCGTGTTGATGTCCAACTCTACGTGAGACCAAATTTTAATTAAATGGAACCAATTTTGCAAATTTTTAGAGGCTATTTGGTTTATACTAGAGAATGAAAATAAAAATGACAGGAAAAGAAAATGGGAGTGAATAATCATTCCCTCCAATTTAATCCGGAATGAAAATTTGGACTTTTGGGAATAAGTTCATTATATTATATAATATCAAACAGTTTCTTTTATTTTCATTCTCATTGATTAATGTTCAAAACATATAACCAAACATCCCGTACTCTTATTTAAAAAATATGTTTCTAAAATCTTCTTTTAGAAAACCGGTCGATCGCCCAAGTCTCGACGGGGCATGGTCTCCCTATTGACACTGATGAATGACACGCTCTGGCATGTTCGTATTAGTTTCTACAAGTTTGTTAGAGAATTTTCAATATATTTTTGAAAATGAAGAAAATAGAGATTTTGAGGTCATATCGATTCTTTAAAAAGAAGAAAAACATAAAACAGTGTGTGAAATTATTTAAATTTGAAGAACTTTTTAAAAATGATTACCATGAGCCCATAAAAGAGACATAAATGTTCAAAAAGAAATAATATTTATTAAATGTATAAAATATTTTGATAAATGTAATTAATGTTGAAATCTCCAAAACTTAAAATCTGTTGGAATTGAATGTAATATTTTTATAGGTTTTGAGTTTTGTTTCTCTGTTTTGGATAAATCTTGGAGAAACTATTGGAAATCTCTAATGCATCTCCAATACATTCTCCAAAATGAAGATTTTGAGGATTTTTGCTCCAACAGATTTCCTAAAATGGAGAAAGTATGATATACAACATGAAAATTTTCAAATTTGTGTAACTCTCCAAAAACGATTGCTTAGAGCATCTCCGACCACACT